GCAGTTTGGCTGTTAGCGGAGCAGTGCAAATGCACCGTGTAACTAAATCACGCGCGGAGCTGCACCGCGCGTAACGCCTGTCACCTACGGATCTCAAAGCTCTTGGCAAATGTGAATGGATTTTGCTTCACTCCACTCATGTGAGCTAGAAGCCAGCTCTGGCTTACAAGGGGGGAGAAGAGAACAGAGAGAGGTGAAGTCACTGAGTTTATGTCACTGCAAGGAATAAAAGTCTCATATCCCAGTTCCTTACCATAACCATCCTTCCCCAGCTGCCACTGAATCCACCCATGTGTTCCCAAAAAGAGTGATCCCACGGGGGAAACTAGACTGCAGCCTCTCCAGAGCAGGATTTGTGCCTGTTTTTGTGTTAATACAAGTGCTTGACAGAGCAGCTGATTCTGCTTAGGACTTTTGTGTGCTATTACAGTGCCAGTAATAGCAGGAGCATTGCTGCGGTCATTAATGTATCTAAACTGCAGTAAGTGCCTTTTGGATCAGTGAAGAAATGAGGTTCACAGAGCCGCTGTGCCTTGCACGGCTTGTTGTGCGGGTAGGTGCCATAAACTTCTGGTTGACAAGGTCTGTTTGGCTGCTTGGGGCAGCACGCAGCGTGTGCCAGCCCCTGTCCTGCCAGGCAAGGTGTCCTGTGCACCGAACACCGCTGTGATCTCAGGGTAACTCCTGTGGTTTGGGATGATCTTCTTGATTCTTGCAGAGAGCCAGCTTTGCCAGCATCAGATTGGTCATACAGGTGATAGCAGTGACTCCCACTGCTGTGACCCTTTATGATTACCAAATGTATTATTTTTGCCAAGAAAGGTTGGACCAGGTGATCCTTGAGGTCCCTTCCGACCTGGTGTTCTATGATTCTACAGTTACTCTGCAGTGATGTCATTTTCTCTAAACCTGTCAACTGCCTCAGAAATGGGACTTTTGACTTTCTTTGAGCTCTGGGAGTGATGTTTAGTGGATTGAGCAAGGAAATGAGAGCTGTTGCTACCGCATCTGCCTCCTGTGTTGTTCAGAGATGAGAGCAGAACCAGGACTGCTGGGAGTTATGTTTAGCTCTGCCAGGCTCAGCTTGGGCAAGTCTCCACGCCTCGGCTCTCTGTCTGTGAAATGGGGGTAGTGGTTCTTGTCTCTCATAATAGGCTGTTGTACAACGTGCTGCAGCAACGTTGGGAAGGTGCCTTGAGAGCCCGTGACGGAGGGAGAGCAGGTATTATCCATGATAATTCGGTGCTTGGAAGATGTGAATAGCTGCGTTTTGGCTGCTTTGTCTACTGCCAGTCTTGGAGTGTGAAAGAGAACCAGTTATGGGTTTGTTATATTACTTCTACCTTGCAGCATTAACCCCTGGCTCTCAAAGCACTTTGCAAACAGCTAGCTCAGCTTCAAAATGCTCCTTTCCAAGCCCTTTGAATGCAGTCATGAGCCCAAACGCATTTTAAAAATCCTCTTTGGTTTGGCTCTCTTAGCTGGTTCCCTGGGCTCACGTGGACATTGTCTGATCAGGAATGAGGAGTCCTGACGATGCCACAGGACGGCTGCAGTGGTGTGAGCTCATCTTGCCCTGCTCATGCCTTCCTGAGGGTGTAGGGGGAAGAGGTTTTCTGTGAATATGAAGCAGGAAGAACATTCTAACTTTTTCTTTCCCCCCAGGTAACTGGGTTTGGTGCTGGCAGTTGGGAGGAAGCTTGTTCTGGCTTGTCAGCTGAGCAGATGGGACCTGGGAGTCAGTGGTGGAGCACATGCGTGGAGCACAGGCAAGGGAATCCTCTAGTCAGACTGTTTGCACTCCTGCTGTGGCTTGGCCATCGCTCGGGGGTCCCGGGAGTGGCAGATTCACACGTGGTGTTTGTCGTTGATATGAGAGCTGCCAGCAAAGCCGAGAGCAGGGAGAGCTGATATTCCAGGCTTTAGCGCTTTCCTAAATCTGTAGCCTTGATCTCTAACGCTGGCTCCGTTCTGCTGCTCTCAAAGTTCACAGAAATGCACTGCTAGCCTCAACAGAAACAAGGTCAAGGCTATAGTGAATGTGAAGTTAGGATCCTCCTCAAGGAAGGTAAAAGTGTAGTTTTGGGGACAGACCCTTCTGCAGAGGGAAGAAAATGAAATGTTCTCGCAGTTGAATCCCTCTGCACCCAGGACAGTGGCACATTCTGTGCTGGTCTTTGTGTTACTTATGGGTCTGTAGCCAAGCCCTGAATGCGGGTCCTTGCAGTTCTTGGGGACAGTTTGGGCAGTTTCCACACTGTATCGAAGGCTGAAGGGTGCTCCATGCCACTGCAATATAATTCATTATTTAGCCTACTTGAAATTGCTGTGAAAGCAAATTAAGTAATGGAGAACTCTAGGAAGTTGGTTCAACAGTAACTTTCTACCAGCTGTTCCCAACTGAAGAAGTTATTCAGTGCTCACTGTTGAGCGTGCATGAGCCAAAAAAGATTTCAGCTCATTCTCTTGTCTCTTGGGCTCGTGAGAGGAATGGGAATCATAAATAGCATGAGCTGACTTTGCTCACTAATCAAACAAGCAAAGAGGAGCCCCAACACACCCTAGCGCCCGGTGGACTGGGTGATGAAGAGGCATGTCTGAGCTGACTGATTGGAAAATCTTGAAGTGTTAGAAAACCTCGAAGTATTGAAAAGAACCCTGCAAACATGGATGAATTGGGCCTTTTAAGCTGTGCTTCTGCTCACAGGTGGGGGAAATGAGGCACAGCAGAGGCAGGGGTGCAGCTTCCCAGCGGGTCTCTGATACGCTGGAGATCGCAATCCAGATGTTCTCGTGCTGAAAAGCAGCTGTAACATAATGAGGAAGTGAAGCTGATTGTGAACAGAAGGTAAAACCAGGTGGTCTGGTTTCTTTGGGTGAGTTATTAAAAGAAATAAATAGCGCTAACAATGATTAATGAAGGCGAGGAAGAAAACTCGGTTAATTCCATTGCATTCTCTGTTATCTTGAAAGAGGTTGTTTTGGTTGGTTTTTCAGTAGGAGAGCTATTCTGAGAGTGTTTCTTTATATGGCCTGTGGCTGACACTGCATTGGAAAATGCTTGTTGTCATTATTTTTTTTAAGTGCTTGGATTGCATCTTAATATAGGTCCTGTGTTAGGAATGCTTTGCCTCTTTTATGATCTCATGTACCCCCCACCCACTCATCCATGGTTGAATAACACGTCCTTTTGGCAGCTACAGCGGTTGCATACATGAAAACCAGTAGGAAAGCATTTATGTATTTTTAGCGTCTTTTAATGCACTTCAGCAGTCGGGAAGAGATCCCTGTGACGTGCCAGCTCCCAGCGAGTGGCTCTGAGACTGCCGTCTGAGAACAGCTGGGCTACAGGCAGGAGAGGCTTGTTTCCAAAATACTTTGCGCTCGGAGTTTTCAAGGAGAATTTTACCGATTCCTGCTGAGCAGGGAGAGACTCTGGGAGGACTTGCGAGTTAAGATTCAGTCTGATCTCTGTCCTACACCATACTGCGCTGGTTGTTACAGAAGTACAAAGCAGTTGGCATCTTCTGACCCCATGTGAGCTCAAGTCAGAGCAGCTGTTTTGAGCAACAGTCAAAACAGCTGGAACAGTTTTACTACTGTTATTGGTGACAAACACCATATCCAAGGAAGCTGTTTCACAAGCAAGGGCTGGATGGGATATAACAAGTGCAGACAGAGCCGTAGCAAGATATTTTTTTGACCTCCGTTCCAGGTGTGCCCCCTCCTGCCTGCCCTCAGGCTCCTTCCCACTGCTGCAGCCCCTCTCCCTGGGTGGCAGTGGAGCTGTGAGGCCTCTGTGCCGTGGGGTGCTGTCCCCTTCACCCCAGCTCAGCTTCCCAAAGCGTTTTGCTGGCATCGTCCCCGTGCGAGGGTTGTATCGGCCCTGCGGCAGCAGCTGCCCCTGGGCTGGGAGCTGGCCCCTGTCTAAGCACCGCGCAGCACGTTCAGTAGTGCTCTTGCATCCCTCCCTGCTACCTGGAGAATTTTAGTGGGCAGAAGCTCAACAGAAAACCAGGCTAGAGGTGGCACACTGGTGTTGCTGAGGAGTTATAAGAGGACCTTGAGAGCCCATACGCTCTGCACCTTTCACAGTCATGGTTTTACACCTTATTCAAATCTGGGCACATCCAGAGCTGAGGCTGGTGTGCCTGCTCCGAGCTGATTCAGGACAAGGAGGCCACAGACTGAGTTACTGGAGCGCTTGAAGCATCCTGGGTTTTTCAGAGCAGGTAATGCTCCTTCAGACATAGCCTGATCTCTGTTTAGCATCCGAAGTGGCATAAAAGCCAAGAGTGGGTTTCGAGAGGTGCCCAGCACTTCTGAAACGCTGCCAGGTGGGGCGGCTGTAGGTTCACAAGGTCCCAAGGAAGGTTGGTTATGCTGCGTTCTCTGGAAAGGGGAAAGAAGAGGGCACATCTCTGGGAATAATGAAGGAAGTTTGAGATCCAGGGGACAAAATGGGACTCGGGAGCTTTTGGGTTGGTTTTCAGCACTGCCGCAGTCCTGCTGGCTGACTTTGGGCAAGTCCTTTCGCTATGCACCTCAGTTTTTCTATCTTTGGACTGAGGCTGCTGCTGCTGCGGAGTGCTTTGATGTTTTCTCCTGTGCAGTGCTATGTAAGAGCTGGGAATTGCTTACTGTTAATAATCACTGTTTTATTGCTTCCAGGGAAGTGGGGGGCTGAGCTGTGCATGGGACTCCAAGCTACTGCTTGTCCTGTTTGTTTTGGCCCTGCTTCCCAGAGGCATTTTTTTTTTTTTTTTTTTTTTTTTTCTCCTTGAGCTCCAGATGAGTTAGGGATGAGAAAAAGATTAGTCCCACGAGTCCTCAGGAGCTGCACGCACATCCTCTGCAGCAGGGCTCCCCGGTGGAGGGCGAAGCCAGTCTTCCCTCCTCTGGATGGGGTGTCTGTGCTTGAAGCAGAATCGTGTTTTTCATTTCTCTGCCTGGCTGGCTTGCGGGAGACTCATTCTCTCCACGGCTTGTCTGCCCTCCAGGTAGAACCGCAGGCCTGCACGTATCCATGCCAGTGTCCCTCCCAGCCTCTGCAGTGCCCCGCTGGCACCAGCCATGTGTTGGATGCCTGTGGTTGCTGCAAGGTGTGTGCCAGGCAGCTTGGCGAGCTCTGTTCCCTGCAGAAACCCTGTGATCATCACAAGGGACTCTACTGCGACTTCTCCAAAACCCACAGAGGCAGCGGGATCTGCTTAGGTGAGAGCTGTATGTTCTGTTATTGTGCGGTTTTCTCGTGGCCCCCCTCTGCCTGCAGACCTCCCAGAAAGCCCGCGGCATCGTCAGAATTTCCTGTAGTGCCTGGAGCTCCGTCCAGCATCAGAGATGCTGCGCCAGCCCCGCGAGCCAACAGATTCACTGATACCAATACACACGCAACCTACTTCCTCCTGCAATGAGGGACGTTTCCGAAGGCACGAGTCGGGGTTTGGGACTCTCCTTTGTTCCTGTGACGTTGTTAGGAGACATCCCCTACCCCCGTAGTGCCTGCGGGTGAATATCAGCAATCTGGACTTTTACTGGAAAGTACAGTTGCTTGGAAAATCTTATCCAAAATCTCACTGCCTTGCACGACAGATTGGCATTTTGCAGTTGTCTGCTTACATGCAAGAGGCATACTGTATTTCTGGCTGTAGCACGTGGGTGTAAAGAGCTGAACAACTTGTCTGCAAAATAACGTATATGTAGAACATGGGAATTACTGAGCCAGGTAAATACAAATGCAGACCTGTTTTCCCTTTTCAGCCAGAAATATTTTTGATTTTTTTCTTCTAGCAGCTATTTTTAAATCATGCAAACATTAGTTTGGTGTAAAGGAAAAAAAAAAAAAAGTATTTCCTCAGTCTCCTGTTCTTTGTTTAAAAACAAGACTCTTCTGCCCCTGTCTCTGCCAGGAGCTGACCATTTGTTTAATTTAAGGTTTTCAAGATAGTCAGGAAGACACGAAGGCTGGAAGGCTGATGTGAACACTTTGGGAAGGGTTCAGCCACCGCACGGGGCATCTCTGGAAATGCTCCAGCAGCTGCACCACTCGCACCAACCCGAGACAGGGGCGTTGGGGGCTTGGGGTGGAACTGCTTTGTTTTGCAGCGCCCGGATCACATCCAATTTTTTTTTCCACTAAATAATGAATTTAACTTGGAGAATGTGTTTTCTCCTTTCTTTTGAGAAGTTTTTATAAGTTATTTGTTTAATTTCCCTCCCCCAGTTATTGTGATCTTTAGAAGTCACTACCTTCTATAGGCATTGGTGCACCCAAGAGCTGATGATTGAAGCTTAATAAGGTAAACGTGGGCGTAATAACATCCAGAGGGTGTAAGCTGTAGACTGCCTAATTCAGGCTGGAAATGAGGTGTATGTTTGCAGAGTAAAGACAGCTAAATCACTGGAACAGTTTGCTCAGGAGGATAGAGGAGTCTCATTCACAGAGACTTCACATGGAGACTGGACATCTTTCAAAAGATTTGTAGTCACCATGACGTATGGGTTTGGTACAGAGATTTTGGAGTGAGAATCCCAGATGCCTGTTGTGTAGAAAATCAGACTTGAAGACCACAACTGCCCTTCAGGTGTTTAAATGAGAAACTAAGATTTTCATGGCGAAAGCCCCAGATGAACATAGACCAGGATATCTCCCTAAATTGGTCTGAAGATTTGAGATACAATGTCCTTGGGTGATCTTTTTGTGATGTCCACACTGACCTCTTGGAAGATGGGCGATTTTGGAGGCAACGAAGGAAACTGAAGGTGGAGTGATGAACTGAACAAAGGGAAGGATCAGTGTTTGTGATTAGAGAAGACTTGCAGGCATCCAAATAGGAGAGATGTGATGGGAGCTGAAAGGAGCAGAGAGGTGTTCAGGCGTCATGGGAAAGGCTTCTAGGTTGGGTACCAGCCCAAAAGCCATATCAGAAGAGAAACGAAAGGAACCATCAGGGTGAAAATCGCTGTATGTTTGTTTAAAGTTGTCCCAGTATGTAGCACTTCACGTATCGCAGAGCAATTCATCCCTTCCTGCTGAGACCTTGGAGTATCAGAAAGGTAGAGATGATCCTGTAGTAATTCTGGCGTAGGAGCGCCTAAGGGGGTAGGGTGGGCTGGGTGGGTGCAGGGAGCTGGCAGAGCTGCAGCGACTGGAGCAGCTCAGTTGAGCTCTGCCATATTCCCCTCGGAAAAGGGCAAAAGTCTCCTTGGCTGGAGTTGGAGTTTGGAGGCGGGAGGTGGCACTGGTGCCAGGCGGAGCTGGTAAATAAAGAGCTGTCTCTCTCCGCTGGAGCAATCCGTTTTGGTGCTGTAATTGGATCAGGTCAACAGGAAAGTGAGGTCATTGTAGGGTGATGAAGGGCATGACAAAACGATTGAGTTTTGAAAACATAATAAAACTCCCAAGCGGGCTGCCATTCCTTGGGTGGGGAGGAGTGCTGCTGAGGGAACAGCACGATCAGTTCATTGGGAAGGGAGAGGGCTTGGGCTAAAAAACAGTGAAAGAGGATTTAAAAATAAGTATGAATGGTTGTGTAGAGGGAAAGCGGATGGCTTCCACTTTGATGGAAAAAGTGAGGATTTTGAAACTTCTAAGTAGGAGCACAGGAGTATTTTTATACCAATGGCATTGAACAGAGTTGCAAGTTGAGATCCAGCTCTGCTTAGAAACAAGGCATTAGCAGCCCAGAAGGATTTGTGTCCCCTCAAGGACTAGGTGGGATGGAAAGTGGCTCTCGCTCCGTGTTTGGTCCAAACTCTTTCTGTCTGAGACAATGTTCCACGGGCGAGCAGGACTAAGGGGAAAATAGATCAGGTTTCCTGGTAAGCCTCCACAAGCAGCCAAGAATCCTTCATTTTGGTAACTTCCCAGTAGAGGTTTGCATGGATTTTTTTGTTTTTTTTAAGGGTCGGGATTGCAGAAAGAAGCAGCTGATGAGAACTGTCCAAAAGCAGGATTTCTGTCCTGTGAACAACTCTGAGATTTCAACATTTCATTTCAGGCTAAAGAAAAAAAAAAATAAATGAAAATCTCAAAACTTTTCATGAGTTATTTAGAATACTCATTTGGCTATGTCAGAACTTTCCACTTCCATTATATCAAAATGTTTCATCTTGATCTTTATAGTATCTAAAATAATTACCCGAGCAAAATGTTCCCCCCTATGGATACTGGCCAACAAGTATTTTGGTTGAGCTATTGTAAGAGCATAAAAGAAATCTTTGATATCAAATTGAAATGCTTCAGTTGTTTCTCATTGAAAACATTCCTGACATTGATCCGTGCCTGCAAAACTCTTAATCAAACTTTTTTTCTGCTGGAAAACTTCCACTGGAAAAATTTTGGCTAATACAGACGTAAGAACTTGTGAGCATTGCTTGCACCCACAGACTGAGGATTGCTCCTGTGTGTCAGATATGGTTGCGTTTCCTTTTTTGCTCGTTTAAGTTTTACAGGGAAGGAGTAAAAGACTCATAGGAGGGCTGGAGAAGAGAGAACTGGAGATCAGAACAGAGAGAAATAGAAAAAGTTGTGGCAGGAATGAAGAAGAGATTCACATATCACAGAGAAGCCGAAAAGGTCATAAACCCAAAGTGTTATTTTCCTTTTGTAGGTACCTTTTAGACATGTGGGGAACCAGCTGCTCTTAGGAGAATGTTGCCTTTTGGTCTCCTAGGAGTGTCGAGGAGCGAAGCCGCTGGCTCACGCGTCGTGTCAGGAATGCATCTTGCACAACACCACTGACTGGGGCACTGAGCTGGACAGGAAGACCTCTGACTGGAGAACAGGCTGTTTACAAGCCGTAAAGACAAAGTCCCACTTAGTAGCTCGTCCAAGTGAAGAAGAGATTTTTCTAGAGAACTTTGGGAGGTCTGGCACAGCTGGAGCCAACTTCTAAAAATCAATGTCAGGAATAGCCTTGGGTCCAGGGAGCCCAATATTAAATGTGCCAACTTCTGCTGCATCCAGCACTGGGATGGCAGAGCCGGGGAGAGTCTGCGCGTGGGCACTTGTCCCTCATCAGGAGGGGCCCCCCCCGAGGCAGAGGCCGTGCTGCCAGCCCCCTGCCATCTCCTCAGATTCTCCTCCTCTTCCCCCTTCCCCCAGCTCACGAGGGCGCAACTTGTGACCTGCTGGGCAAGATCTACCACAACGGGGAGAGCTTCCAGCCCACCTGCAAGCTGCAGTGCATCTGCATGGACGGGGCCATCGGCTGCATCCCCCTCTGCTCCGACGACCTGCGGCTGCCGTCCCCCGAGTGCCCCAACCCCCGGCGGGTGAAGTTCCGCAACAAGTGCTGCGAAGAGTGGGTCTGCGAGGAGGGCAGCGAGGAAAACCGCTTCGAAACCGCCATGGCGGGTGAGTGGTGGGCGGGCGCGATGGGGCTGGGGGCTGTTTGCTGGGGGGGGGGGGGTGTGGAGGTGGATCCAAACTGCCTTTGGCCCGGGGCCCTGCGTCACGTCTGCTTTGGGACTGGCGGTGACGGCTCACTCGGTGCGCCGGGGGTGTGGGTGCCAGGTGTGGAGCGGGTACTCCAGACTCCAGACCCACGAAGGCGAGACCTTGGTGGTGCCGGGGGGAGGCTCGCACACCCGCTGATGTTCCAGCAGAACTGGCTGGAGCTGGGCTGAGGTAGGAGACGGCCCCGTGCTTGCCTGTGTGTTCCTTCCGCTGAGAGGCCGAGGAGCTCGTGGGGTGGACCAGACCTTTGCTACCCCTCCTGGGGTTCCCGGGGCAGTGGCACGGGAAGCTGCGTGGTGCCGGGGTCTGCAGCTGTGGGATTCCCTTCTTGCCAGACCTCTGCAGTGTCCCCGCCGTTAAGGACGTGCCGAGTGCCAGCCCCCAGCCCGGCTGGCCCTGAAGAGTTAGACCGAGCTGGGAGCAGCCGCGGAGCTGCCACACTTCGTCCCAAGCCCTGAACCTTGCCTTGTGTCTCTTCCCCGCGGCTCAGTGTTCAGGGAGGATCCAGCACACAAGCCGGAGCTGAATAACCTGCAGGAGAACTGCCTGGTGCAGACCACGGAGTGGAGCGCTTGCTCCAAGAGCTGCGGCATGGGCATCTCTGCCCGAGTAACCAACGACAACCCCCAGTGCCGCCTGGAGAAGGAGACCCGGCTCTGCATGGTCCGGCCCTGCGACTTCCCCGTGGAGAAAACCAAGGTACTGGGCACGGGGAGAGGGGACACAGCACCGGGAACACCAGGGAGAACCTAATTAGGTATTTGTCGGGCATGAGCCCATCTCAAAGGGCTTCCACTTTTTCGGTGTCCTGTTGCCCAGTGGTAGAGCGCAGGCCTGGGTGGACCTGTTGTCCGGTTGTTCTGTCCTTATTAACCCACCTGCTCTCTGCCTAGAAGGGGAAGAAGTGTGTGCGGACCCCAAAGCCACGCCAGAGCCTCCGTTTCGAGTTTTCGGGCTGCACCAGCACCCGTTCCTACCGGCCCAAGTTCTGCGGCAGCTGCACGGACGGCCGCTGCTGCACCCCGTACCTCACCAGCACCGTGGAGGTGGAGTTCCGCTGCCCCGAGGGGGACTTCTTCCAGCGGAAGATGATGTTCATCAAGATGTGCTCCTGCCACTACGACTGCCCCCGAGACAACGACATCTTCCTGGCCACGTATCACAGGAGGATGATTGGAGATCACGTCAAGACAGAGAGGCAGTAGCCCTCTCCGTGCCAGATCCACAGGCCAAGGTGTCAAGAGGGCTCTGCAGTGCTTTCGTGGCTGTAGGACAATGCAGCCTCTTCCCCCTCTGTGAGGGGCTGTGCTCTTTAGGACAGCACCGTTCACCACCAGTGGTCCCAGTGGCCCTTCCTAACAGGCCGAGGTGTGTGAGGGAACAGCCCCGCCTGCCCCAGGCTCCTGACCTTCACCCGTGGTGGTGCAAAGGTCTCTGAAGGAACCAGAAACAGGCTTGAGCTGCAAACTTGATCCATGTTCCCACTGACCAGATGGGAGAGTGGATCAAAGCCGCGTGGCTCCAGCCTGTCTCCAGCTGAGAGCACAGCGGGTGCAGTTGCCCGTGGCCACCGGCCTGCCAAACCCATGCGGCGAACCCCGAGCGTGGGACGGGGCAAGCCCAGGAGGCCTGAGCTGAAGCCAAGCTCTGCAGCCTGCTTGCCAGCAGAGCGGGGCTCCACTGCGCGCTGATGCGAAGCTTCTCAGTGAGGAAAGTGGTCCCGGACCCGTGCTGGGCTCCTGCTGAGTTTTTCAATTGTTTTTTAGCAAATTGGATCAGTTGGCAAAAACTCTTCCCCATCCTTGTGCCCACCTTTCACCCTCCCACGTGCTTTCCCTCCAGCAGCTTTGTCCCAGATCAGTTTGCTCCTAAGAGAGGCCGGATCATCTGCTGGGTGACCCACTCTCTGGGCAGCTCAAGGCTGGGATGCCTTTTTTCCCCCTTAAATTCCTTTTAGCCTCGTGTGGCAGTGAGGGTGACAGTGAGGACAAGGAAACAACAAGCTGTGTCGTGTCGCTGCAGGAGACTGTGGCTCAGGGACTTCCCCAGAAGATCTGAGCCCAGGTAGGAGTTTCTTCACAGAAGAAGGGATTTGGCCAGGCTGTAGCTTTGCCTCTGGGGCTCGCAGGGCAGTGTCCCTGGGGCCTGTTTCAGACCTGAGGAGCTCTTCCAGGCTGAAACACGTCCCCTGCGGGTGCTGCTCCTGACAGTTTTTGGTGCCGTGATGAGCGTGTCCTCTTGTCCCTTTTGGTAATCTCTTCAGAAATGGCTCCGGGGTGGGAGAGGGGCTGGAGTCCACCAGCTCATACATCCACAGTGGGGCTGCAGCTCCGTTTTCAACTCCGGAGTCTTTGCCGGTGGGTCAGAAGTCGGAGGAATGTGGTTCAGCCCCGGTCTCCCCGGGGGGAGTTTAAGGCAGTGGCAAGAAAAATGCCCGTATTTGTAAATGGAGCGGATCCCTCCTGGAGTTCCCGGGGCAGTGGCACGGGAAGCTGCGTGGTGCCGGGGTCTGCAGCTGTGGGATTCCCTTCTTGCCAGACCCCTGCAGTGTCCCCGCCGTTAAGGACGTGCCGAGTGCCGGCCCCCAGCCCGGCTGGCCCAGCTCCGTGCACCTCGGCAGCTCCACCGCATCTCCGAAGCCTCCGTCATCCCGTTGCGTTCAGCCTCTGCTGATTTTTAGCAGGAACATCCAGGTAAAGGGCCTGATCTCATTCCTGACATCTTCCCTGCCTTTCACCACTGGAAATCGCGATGCATTCCTGTCCCCGCCGGGCAGGAGCAGGGGCCACGCTGCAGCTCCGAGGCTTTACCCCACCACATCCCCCCCCCCAAAGCAGAACCCGGTGCCCGAGGACAATCCCAGCCGCCCGCGACCGCTGCCCCGCGGCCCGTAACCCCGCCGAAACGCCACCTCGGGGCCCGTGTCTCCCCTCAGCCCCTCTTTTCTTACTCTCCCAGCCTGCGGAAGCTCGTGAGCCTTCAGCCTCCTGTAATCAATTTGAACTGTAAATAATTTATCTGATGTTTTCTCTTGTTTTTGTTTGGTTTTTTTTTTTTTTTTTTTTTTTTAGAGGCCTTTGTACAGTTCTTGTATCCTTTTAGCACAACCTTGCTCGGGGCCTTTTCTCCCCTTGCCCTCCAGGTCTGCTCTGAACTTTTCTGCCTGCCGTTTAAACGGCTTCTGAGTGTAAAACTACGCCGAGGTTGCACTTTACTCAACGCTAATAAATACTGCTTTATTTTTTATATCCCTGGCAGCATCCCTCTGTGCAAGGCTCCAGCCTGGCTTCCCCTCCTGCCTTTCCCCAATGCCATCAGCATGCTGGGACCAGTGCTGGGATCCCCTGCAAAGCTGATGGCTGGGTGTGGAGGGGAGGGGGGTCTCGGGGGGGGCCCTGTTCCCCCTCCCAAAGAGCAGTGGGGCTGGTGTTAGTGTCTCACAGGCACCCACAACTCCTGTCTGGGGGGGGGGGGACACACACACACACAAGTGGGGCCCTGCCTGTGCCTGCTGAAGGACCCAGAAATCCATAATACCAGGTTAAAAATAACGCTGGGAGCAGATGTGAGCAGAAATCGGCAATAACGGGGCCAGAACACGGGGGGATTTTGTGGTGGCTTAACAGCTTACGGCTTCATCCCCCTCCCGGCACATCAACCAGGGGCTCCCCCCTCGGCGGGGGCGAGAGGCTCTTCCTCCCCCCCAAAACCTTCCTCCCCCCAAAACCTTCCTCCCCCCAAAACCTTCCTCCTCCCAAAATCTTCCTCCTCCCAAAATCTTCCTCCTCCCCGGGAAAGGTTTAGGGCTCCCTGGGGAGAGGCAGGTGATGGGAGGGGGGGACACAAGTGCCTGCGGGGGGTCGAGGTGCTGAGCCCGGGGCAGGATCTGTCCCGTCTCTCTCTGGGGGTCGGGGGGGGCCCCTGGAGGGGCAGCAGACGGGGGACACGGGGACAGTCTTTGCCAGCGTCCCCAGGGGCGGGGGCTATTAGGTGGCACCAGGCACCTCCCTCCCCCGTCCCCAAGGGGGGGCGCGGGGCCGTGGCCAGCCCCTGGGGAGCCGAGTGGGTGCGGGGGGCACCCGGCAGCACCCCGGGGCAGCACCCCCCGCCCCCAGCCCAGCGCAGGGGCCGCGTTCCAGCCCGCTGCCACCCCCGGGGGGGCCCGGAGAGCCCCGCTCCCCCCTTATCGCCCGCAGCCGCCGCCTGCGCCGTCACGATAGGCACGATAGGCACGATAGCCCCGGCGGGTCCCCGCGGCCGGGGCTGCGGCAGCCGGAGCCGCCCCGGGACCGCGGGGAGGGGCGGGGGGGGGGGGGGGTCGGACCCCGCGCTGCCCTTATCGGCCCCGGCCACGCCGCAGCGTCACCCGGGGCGAGCTCCGGACAGCGGCTCCCCGCGCAGGGAGAGTTTTTGCCTTTTTTTTTTTTTTTTTTTTATGTCCTTAAAAAAGGTAAAAAAAAAAAGGAGACGGGTGAAAACGAGCATAAAAATGTATTAAAGACCCGATTCTGCTGGGTTTTGGGGCTCTGCCGGCAGCGCCAGTGGCAGCCGGGGACTCCGGGGGTCCGCGGGGAACCCGCGGGAGCACTTTTTCCTTATATGGGGTGGAGACGTCTCGGAGGCGAGCGGTGACGTCACGCGCCCCCCGAGGCGAAGGGGGGGGGGTAGGGAAGGAATTTCCTCGCCCCACCCCCCCCCGCCCGCCGTGACGTCACACCGTCACCTGCCCGCCCCGCCCACTGCAGCGCCGCGCCGCTGGCGGCCCCGCCCCCCTCCGCGGCGCTGACGGGCGGCGGTGGCGGCCAGTGGGCGCGGCCGGCGGCGCGGCGGGGCGGGGCGGGGCGCGCTGACGTCAGCGGGGGGGCGGGGCCGGCGGTGCAGGTGGAGGCAGCGCGGTGCGGAGCGGCGGCCCCGGCCCGGGTGAGCGGAGCGGGGCGGGGCGGGGGGGGGGGGCGTGAAGCGGTTGGGGGGTCCCGCGGGTTCAAGGTCAAGCCGTGGGGCGGGAGGGGACCCGTGGTGAGGTCACGTCGGTTATGGGGGGGGGTATAGTAGGGTCAGGCTGGTTATGGGGTTCACGGGGGGGGGCTGTGGGGGGATTTGGGGCTCCCTAGAGGGGCCTCTGTGGTTTTGGGGTGGGGGGTTATAGGAGGGTTTGGGGTGCTCTGGGGGTCAGGTTGGTTGTGGATTGGGGGGGAGGGTGTTATGAGGGGCCGTGGGGTGCTGTGGGGTGGGGGGGACCTGCAGTGGGGTCAGGCTGGGTGTGAGGGGAGGATGGGGTGTCTTGGGGCTGGGGGAGACCAGGGCAACCCAGAGAGGTCGAGCTAGATGTGAGGTGTTTCAGGGTGCTCTGGGGTTTGGGGGGGAGCCAGGCTGGGTGTGGGGGCCCCACAGCGAGTGAGGTGTGGGGCAATGGGGTTATGGGGAAATGAGGGGTGTCCTGGGGCTGGGGGAGACCAGGGAGGCACCCACAGTGGTGTCAGGGAGCGTGTGGGGCACAAGGGGGGAAAGTGGGGTGCTTTGGGGTGGGTAGGGGGGCCCAGTGGGGTCAGGCTGGGTGTGAGGGAAATGTGGGGGGAACGGCGTGCACTGGAGCTGTAGCAGGGACCCTGAGCGTGGCTGGGGGGTTGCGTGGGGCTGAGGGAGAGGATATGGGGTGGGGGCAGCAGAGGGGGCCCACAGGAGGTGACAGCTCCCGCGGTGGCATCTGGGTCCGGCTCTGGTTTCCCAGCGATATTTGGGGCTCGCTGGGGACGCACCTCAGCCCGGCGCTCCGGGCCGGTCCCGCTGTTTCCCCTCTCTCCAAGACCCCGCCGAGACCCTTCCCGAAGCCGGCGGCTGAGCTGCGGGGTGCCGGGGGGCCACCCCCCCCCCCCGTCGATACCTGTCCCGGCGTGGATCGATGCCGCGCTCGACCGGGCAGCGCTAAAACCTCGCCATCGACTTTTCTGCTCCGTTCCCCCCCCCCCCCCCGGCGCGGCAGCCGGAGCGGGGCAATTTATGTCGCCACATCCCCTTTTAGACGGGGCTGCTTTGCGCTGATGTCGCAACCAGAGGAGCGTGCGGCAGGACTCGGCGTCCCCAGCGGTTCCTGCAATCTCTACCCTTCCCGAATTTCACCCTCCCGCAGCCGTGGTGGGGCGAGGGGTCAGTGAACCTCCTGGTTAGTCCGTGCCGGGGGCTTCTGCCTTCCCCGCTTCCCGGTGGGCTCGGCAGGTGCTGCGGGGTCCGAGCCGCCGGCCGGAGTCGCAGGGGACAGCAGCTATCTTTAGGGCTTGTGTTGCAATGGAGGGGTGTGCCTTGGCTCGGCGCTGCCCTCAGCCGCCTCCTTGCCTGAGGATTGACTTAGGCCAAGGCTCCCACCTGGAGAAAAATCAACATTTGCTCTGCCGTTTGTGGGAGCGGCTGTTGGGGTGCCCTGTCCTCCGTGGGGGTCCGTAGCAGGGCTGTGGGGCTGGCCCCGGTGCGGGGCTGAAGTCTGGGGTCGGGCGGTGTTGGCAGCTGCCTGCAGCGGGGCTGCTGGCCGGCCCTGACGTCAGGCGACGCGAGGTCGGGCTGCTCAGGGGCGTGTGGGGCGATGTGGGGAGCACCACCGGGCCCCCCCCCCCCAGCACCCTCACCTCTGCTCTGCCACCGCCTGGCAGCGGGACAGGGTGAGCCGGAGCAAACGGGAAGGGTGACGGTGGGAGGAAATCTCTGCTGCCCTGTGGGAAAGGAGCCGCCTTAGGGCGTGGGAGCAAGTTAGGTTCTTGCAAGGTGCACCCCAAAACCCGCTCCACCCCTCTGCTGCGCCCTTCCTAAGGCTTTAACAAAGGCACGGATGCGGCTCCGGAAGAGCCGGGGTCAGGGCTGCCGGCAGCAGTGCACATGCTCCCCTCCATGTCCTCCTTCTGCCGGAGCAACCTGGTTAGTCCGTGGGAGTGACTTGCGCCAGAGCTCCGGGTGACATGGGACCGAGGTTCCCTGTTCCTGCCTAACCCTTCCCCTGCAGCCCTGCTCGTTGCTAAACGTGCCCGTGGGTGATGCAGCTACGCCGTGCCCATCCCCGAAAGGAGGCAAACAAAAACTTGTGGAGCAATTTGTGTCCCCCTTGGGTGCGGGGCTCTTCCCCGAGCGCCGGGGCGTGCGTCGACGTGGGTGTCCGTGTCCCCCCGGGCACGTGCCGCTTCCGCGTGTCGTGATGGTAACGACGAGTCAGCGGCAGCAAAAAGTTCCTCCGTGCATCCAACTGCTTCCCCGTGGTCATGCTCAAGCTGTTCTGCGGGGGGGGGGGGGGGGGGGGGGGGCGCTCCCCCATCCCTTTGCTTGGCTTTGCCTGGCGCTTGAGAGAAACTTCAGGCCTTCTCGAGAGGGTTTGAAACCCTGCCGAGGAGAGAAAGTGCCTTCTCATCGGCGGCGGTGCTGCTCTGGCGAGGCTCTCCTCCCGGCGCGCAGCCTGGCAGCTGCTGGAATTGCCTGCAGCCGCATCTCTCCGCACCGCGCGTCCCTCCCGGGCTGGCACCGTCCTCTCGGCGGGTGAAGATTGCTCGGAGGGTAAGCGAAACATCAGCCGTTCTCCGAGCGGGGAACTCTGGAGATATGTCACTAATTTAATATATAACAAAGCTTCTTCTGAGCTCCGTCTGCCGCCGTTCCCCAAGGAGGGGAGCAAGGCTGCAGATGGGCCCTACCCCGGAGGGCAGATGTCCTTTCTGTGACGAGCAGTGTTTTACCTTGCCTGCATGTTCCCAGCGGTGGGAAGAGACTCAAGGCTGTGGTGGCTGGAAGTTTGGGGTCCAAATTGCCTCTTGGCCGTGCTGGATGCTGCGGGTTGGCGGGGTGGGAGCTGGCGGAGGTGTGATTCGGGTGGGGGGCAGGGACTCACCCACTAGCAGCCCGCAGAGCTGACTCTCAGTGAGCTGCCCAGGAAGGACGGGGATGTGCCGGTTGTCCCTTTTTACTCATTTTTCTTCACCTAGTGATTTGTTCGAGGCTCTGGGTCAGGCTTTGCGGGGAGGTGCCGCAGCCAGCAGTGTGGGGGTGACCCCTCTGAGCAGCCTCGCGTGCTGGGTGCCCCGCTGGGGCCGTGGTGGTTCGGTTCGCGGCTCTCGGGGTCCCTTACACCCCGTGAGCATCGGGGCTGAGCTGGTGAGGACAGCCAGGCTGTGCTGGCGGGGGCTGGTGGGGTCTGTCCGAAGCGCCGGGCCGGTCTGCGTGCCTCTCCCCACTAGAGGCTGCTGATGATCAGAGCATTTTTCTTTCCCTGGCTC